GTTTAGAAGAGGAAGTGATGAGAAGATAAATTTATTTTTCTATTTAAACATAAAAACAGCATTTTAATAACAGCTAAAGGTGACATAGATACTTTATTATGCTATAGTGTTTAAATATATGTCTGAGAAACACATAATATTGACCCTTTAACAAATCAACTGAAAAAAGCATGAAAAGCTTAAATAAGCAGAAAGAGGCTGAAATAGGCATAAATTACCTGAAAAATAACAGAAAGGATAGAAAAAAGCTAAAATTAGCAAAATAAGCTAAACAGTAGCTGAAAATGCAGAAAGAAGCTGAAATTAGGAGAAAGAAGCTGAAATAAGTATAAATTAGCAGATGAATAGCAGAAAGGATAGGAAAGCTAAAATAAGCAAAAAGAAGCTAAACATAAAAAGCTTGAATTAACAGAAATAAACTGAAATAACCAAGAAAATGTAAAAAAATAGCAGAAGACCAGCAGAAAGTAGAATGACAGCAGAGCATAGCTAAAAATAAAAAAGCTAGAGATAGCAGACAGATGGTGATATAAATGTAAACAAAATCACATTAGTTGCATCTGACTTTAAATTCTAATCGTTTTAATGGATTTTGCTCAGTAAATAATTCAGCACACTGCGCTGAGACCAGCTTAACTTTTACATCACAACTTAAATGAACTGAGTTCATATTGACGAGTCTTATCTGGAGGAGGGATAAATGAAGGGAATTTGAAGGGATCTGGATCTTGACAAGCCGTTTCAGTTTGAATGAGTGATGTCATCATGTGTACCGTATGTGATGATGTAATTATGTCATGCATACCATGTGTTTTGTCAAACAAAATCTCCCTCCCCTTTAGCTGCTGTGCTCCACCCCTCTGCCTGTTTTCTGTGAGTAAAGGAGTGATTGTCTCTGCGGTTAAGGAGGAAAGAATAAATATAATTAGGAAGAATAAAACCAGTAATGGCTCCACAACTCGTTTTTTATCGGTTATTGTACAAAGCCGTTCAAAAGGTTTGGATTGTTCACAAACATCACATCTCAAGTAATATCTCTAAAGACACAGCTCTGATTTTAAAGCCACACACAGCCTGTCTGATCACATCATTTGTATTTTAGTGAACCAAACTATTATATTATTGAACATATTATTCAAATATAACAAGATGAGGTCAAAACTCCAAATGTTAAAGTGGACTTTCTGCAGAAAGGTAAAAAAAAAATACTATTGTTTTTGTAGCATTTTCAGTAAAAAGTGATAAAATGGGTGACAGGGATGGTTTGGTTGTAGCTGCAGTCTCATTGTGTTAAACTCATTTAGAAACAAAACAAAACAAAACAACACAATGTGCGTTTTGCATTTTTGCTTTGTTTTCCTAAATAAATCATGTGTTTTTATCATCTAGAGGAGGTTCTGGCTCAGTGTTTTAGATCCTGTAGAGTTAAGCAGTAATGTTAAACACAAAATGAGAGATTCTATTGAAGAAAGTGCATTTCTTTGCTAAATTATTTTTAAAAATTTAATAAATAAATATATCAAACCAGATCTGTGCATTTCGCCAAGTCAGCTTCTGTCTCCGAGCGTCAGGCCTTCTGATCGCGTCATAACTAAAGACACAGAGTCTGCCTTCGTATGCGTTCGCCTCAGCCTCAGCCATGACAGGGACCATCCAGGGTGGAGGGGGCGGGGCATCTGATGGCGTGCAGAGTGGCCGGGGGAGTGGATGTGATGCCTGAAGTGACAGGACAAAAAAAAAAGCTGATATGCTCTGGAAGGCCTTTTTTTAATTTATGACAGCAAAGTCAGCGCAGAGACAACCATCCCTGTGGCGTGTCCTCGGGTGGTGACACACACACACACACACACACGCACGCACGCACGCACGCACACACACACACACACACACACACACAAACTGACAGAAATAAACCAACACACAACAAAGCATAGTGGCACACACAGAGAGAATGTTCACAGAGGCTCCACAGGAGATGCAGCACGCTAACACGCCAATGTAAGTCCTGTCGTTTATTTCCAGTCTTACACTTTATTTGGACATGCGTGTGCAGCTTCATGTGATGATGTCACTCGAATGCAGGCATCTCTCACATGACACGTGTGTTTGTCGTGTTTTTATTTCATCTCTGTTTATTTACTGCTCCCTGAGTCTGGTAAGCTGCAGCACCGAGCGTCTGCATTTATAAAGAAAAACAAATTTTAATACAATCTCTCGTTTATTCACTGTTGGGTGAACTAGGACAGAAACTGCCTGAAGTGAGGAGCGCTTGGCTACAATAAAAAAAGTGTGTCTTTGCGTGACAGGATGCAGCGAGTCCCCTTTGTTTTTAAATGTTAAGACGACCCTGGGAGCACTTCCTGTTTTCTTCCCTGGTTCAGTTTGTCTGATCCGTGCTGGAGGAGCAGGCAGGCTGTCAGCTGTGTGCGAGTCAAAGACAGCCCGGTGTTTATTAGTTGGGCTCTTTGTGTCCATCTCTGCTCAGCATCCTGCTGACTGGGAGTGAATGTGCAGTATTCAATCACATCTCCGGGGCTTCTGCCTTTAAGGCCTGCTGGTTGCCAGATTCTCCTCTCATGAGCTGGTGTGGAGACTAATTTATATAACTTCTGCAGAGTCTGATTATCTAAAGGCAAGAGGATGATCATGTCTGTTTGTGTGTGCATTTTAGTATCTCATGAACTACTGAATGAAATTTTTTAAAACTCTCATTGAATGTACCTCAACTACTGATTAACTTTTGGAGTTATCCCATTCAAGATGTCTGCCTGAGATAAACAATCTTCGAAAATGCAACAATGGTTGTTACGTCATTTATTTAACAGAAGTCTGTAGAGAAGCCTGGACTTCCAGCAGCTTTCATGTCCAGTAGAAATGAGGCCTCTTTGCTCTGCTTCTTGCTTCAAACCCAGGGTCAGCGTGTTTGCATCAGCCCTTATGGCTCATTTCCACACCAATGTCTGGAAACTATACAACCGTGCTTCTATCAGAGCCGGGCCACTCGGTCCGATTTGATTTCAGTAGTGATGTGCAGATCAATACTGAAATATCGATACTACCGATACCAGAACTTAATGTTCTTGAATCAATACTAAAATCAAAATATCGATACTTTGATACTTTAGTTATTTCACATAATGTATATCATTAACAGGAAAATAGTGGAAAATAACTAAACTATTCAAATCTTGTCTAAATCGTATGTGGTTGGAGGGAACTTATTTTTCATCCATTTGAGTAATGCAACAGCACATTGGCATGAGTTCAGTCAGTCAGTCTGTAGATGTATGGCAGGTCATTTTAATATAAAATCTGCTTCGTCTGACTGTCTGTAATTAAATTCTAGATGAGGGGTTCCCAAACTTTTTCACGCCATGGCCCCCCAAACAGCATTAGTTCTGGCCAGGGACATTCTTGCAAACACACAAACAATGCTACAAAATATACACAGTAACAACTTTTAGAATATTTTTCTCACTTTTATTCACTTTTTAAAAAATATTACATTTCTTTAGAAAGAAATTAAAATTGTGCTAAACAAATGTAGGGTTAGGGTTAGAAAGACTTTTAAATTAATAAATATAGTACTTTGTCATGTTTTATTTATAAAGTGGTTATTTGAAAAACACTACTTTTTAAGATTTACCAGAAACATTATGTGTGTTATCACAAAGTATCAGTATCGAATCAGTATCGCCAATACCAGGCAAATTTTACTCTGTTTCAGTATCAGAAAGAAAATTGGCAGTATCGAACATCAATAGATTTCAGCTACCGCTGCTCATTGATTGGCTCACTGACTGGGGGTGGGGATTACATCACACAGATGAGATTAAATTTAGACGAATCGTTTGCGGTGGCTCTAACGTTTTCTTCATGAGTTTTGCTACACAACAACAGTAGCAAGCTACCAAACAGCAAAGCTAGCATTAGCTACCATTAGCTTAAAGTGTTAAATTTATAGAAAGGAACCTACTTACATTAGCCCCTTACCCA